TGTCTTGATGCTGCTGTGCACCTTCAAGTCATTTCTGACTTATGGCAACTCAAAGGTGATGAAGATTTGTTGAGCGGAAACTGAGCGAATGCTCCTTGTCCAAGTTCACCAAGTAGTTTCCCATGGCTCAACAGAAACTTGAACCCCAGTATTCCAGAATCCCAGTCGAGTGCTTTTTTCGTATCAGGAGGGACTTGAGAAACTGCAAGTCACCGATAATTAGCATTATGTACAATTTGCTAAATTAAACACAAGCAAATTATCAAAAATGTTACACAATTGGCCATCTGCAAGGACTTTGCCCAGGGGACGCCTGGATGTTTTTGATGTTTTACCATCCTTGTGGGAGGCTTCTCTTATGTACCTCCATGGGGAGCTGGAGCTGACAGAGGGAGCTCAACCCGCTCTCTCCGATTTAAACCACTGACCCGTCAGTCATCAGTCCTGTCGGCACAAGGGTTTAACCCACTGCGCCACTGGGGTCTGAGTCCAGTGCTCAAACTACTATATGTGGTGGCCCCCCGACTCTGGAACACCCTCCCCAAAGATCTTAGAGAGGCCCCTACATTGGCAGTCTTTAGAAAGAACTTGAAGACCTGGTTGTTCTGATGTGCCTTTCTAGAATAGGAAAACTCCAATACCAAGTCCCAGAAGCACTTTATTAGAATTAAGATTGCCACACACTGCACACTGCACTTACCCTATAATCCTTATATACCACCTGTCACATCAGCACTTTTAATTCTGTACCTATTACTCTGGCCCAGCCCAGTTTTATTGTGTCTTAGTGTGTTGTTTATTGCTTGTTGTTTATATTGCTTTAAACATGTTATGTTGTGTATTGAGGCCTTGGCCTTTGTAAGCTGCATCGAGTCCTTCGGGAGATGCTAGCGGGGTACAAATAAAGTTAATAATAATAATAATAATAATAATAATAATAATAATATCGCACTGGCTTCTCAGAACTTGTAGAGTGATTCAAGAACTAATATGTATTGCTCAAACTACTACACAACACTAGCTTCCCAGGATTTGTTAGAGTGTTTCAAAGACTAATTCGGGTTGCTCCTGCTCCTACATCACACTGGCTTCCCAGGACTTGTTGCAGCATTTCAAGAACTAATTCACATTGCTTGCTTCTGACTTTAAAAGTTCTGCGTTACATGTTCTGGTGACTTTCGCATTGCTTTACCATCACCCCAAACTTCTGGATTTGTAAGGAAATTTGGAAAAGTCTTGACATATTGAAAGAGATTTCCCTGGTGTACTTTAAAATAAATTTTTGAAAAGTAACTACAAAATATTGCTCACAATGCCAAGGAAATAGATTGCTCCAAGTTTGTTATGTTACTTTTGAAATGTAGTCCATTACCCCTTCACAACAAAAATAGGGAAGGGGGATTCAACAACTGTTAAGTCCATCCATTTAAAAACTCTGTTTTTCTAAAAAGTGGTTTATCACAGTCTAAGGATCTAAGGGCTGAAAATTAACCTTAGTGCTACCACTGTTGTCTATTCCTGAATGGCACACACCAGTTAAACTTAACATTCATTTCACTTTCTCATCTCCTAAAAAGGACTCTGTCTAGTCTAAATAACAGCTCGTGTTACTTGAAATTTCTGGTAGGAGTTTGGAAAACTGACATTTTCAGATTACAGCTCCAAAAATACAACAGCCTGCAGGGTCATTTTTATTTTTTCCAGGCTGGGATTCTGAGATTCAGTTTCTGTTTACTAAAGTTACACGGACAAAGATAATGCTGGATCAGTCAGAGGTTTAAGACTTATTATAATAAAGCATGTACTAATTGTGCTTGCGTGTCTCTGTGTGCGATTTAGTTCTTATCATTTCTAATCTACTGCCAATGCATCTGTATCTTGACACCGATAATTAGCATTATGTACAATTTGCTAAATTAAACACAACCAAATTATCAAAAAATGTTACACAAAGCATGTCCTTGCTGCTGTCGTAAGATCTTGTTATGAGTTGTAAATCAACATATTTCAGTAGTTAGGTTTTCATCACTGTAAATAAGAATTAACAGTGACACGCTTGATTTAGGACAATGATTTTAAGCCAGAGTTGTCTCTTAGAGATTGTAAATCAATTGTTCAAATTGTCTTGATTTACATCAATATGTCTTTGCTTCAGACTCTGTACAACAATGGTGTTGCTCTGTCACTGTGTGATATGGAAGGATCAATTCAAGGATGATCACTATTGAGCCTGTTATAAAATAGACCTAAACCTGTGTGATGAATGCAAAGCTGGGGTGAAAATTGCTGGAAGAAACATTAACAACCTCAGATATGCAGATGACACCACTCTGATGGCCGAAAGCGAGGAGGAGCTGAGGAGCCTTCTAATCAAGGTGAAAGAAGAAAGCGCAAAAGCCGGGTTGCAGCTAAACATCAAAAAAACCAAGATTATGGCAACAAGAATGATTGACAACTGGGAAATAGAGGGAGAAAATGTGGAGGCCGTGACAGACTTTGTATTTCTAGGTGCAAAGATTACTGCAGACGCAGACTGTGGCCAGGAAATCAGAAGACGCTTACTTCTTTGGAGGAGAGCAATGTCCAATCTCGATAAAATAGTAAAGAGTAGAGACATCAGACTGGCAACAAAGATCCGCCTAGTCAAAGCCATGGTATTCCCTGTAGTAACCTACGGATGTGAGAGCTGGACATTAGGGAAGGCTGAGCGAAGGAAGATCGATGCTTTTGAGCTATGGTGCTGGAGGAAAGTTCTGAGAGTGCCTTGGACTGCGAGAAGATCCAACCAGTCCATACTCCAGGAAATAAAGCCCGGACTTCTCACTGGAGGGAAGGATATTAGAGGCAAAGATGAAGTATTTTGGGCACATAATGAGAAGACAGGAAAGCCTAGAGAAGACAATTATGCTGGCAAAATTTGAAGGAAAAAGGAAGAGGGGCCGACCAAGGGCAAGATGGATGGATGGCATCCTTGAAGTTGACTGGCTTGACCTTGAAGGAGCTGGCAGTGGTGATGGATGACAGGGAGCTCTGGCGTGGGCTGGTTCATGAGGTTATGAACAGTCAGAAGCAACTGAACAAATGAACAACAACAACAAACCTGTGTGAAGTTCAGGTCTAATTTATAAGGAATGAGCAAGTGGGTGCCAGCCTAGAAGCATGGGGAAAGTAGATCTAATGTGATCCAACTGAGCTCAGAAGAAACACATTTAAAATGTTTCCATGAAACAGGCAAATACTAGGATGTTACATACTGTACCTTGACTCACACATTGAACAGTACTGCATAAGAATGTATGCAGAGCTGTATTAAGTGGTCAGAGGGCTATTAAAAACTGGTCCTCAAGGGGAAAATGCTGCCCACTCAACAGGCCACTGTGAAGAATTTGCATGGCACTTTACAAACAAAGTCACTCAGATCAATACAGTTCCAGAGGAAGTAACTGTGGCTCCTGCTTGTCTAATGTTGATGGCTACTTTTCAATTTGTGCAGCTTGAGGATGTGGATAAGATCCCTGGAGGAGTGAGAGCCACCACATGTGCTCTAGACGGCTATAATTCCTGGCTCATTAAACAGACTAGAAGGGGACTTGTGGAGTAGGAAAGGGAAGTGATCAATGTCTCTTCACATCAGGGCAAGATCTCAGCATGCCTGAAGGAAGCTGTGATAAGACCTCTTTTAAAGAAACCTTCTCTGGACCTCACTGTATTTCATAACTATAGACCAGTCTCTAATATTCCATTTATGGGCGAGGTACTGGATGCATGATAGCCTCCCAACTTCAGGAGTTTCTGAATGAAACAGATTATCTAGATCCATTTCAATATGTTTTCAGACGTGATTATGGGAGAAGAGACAGCTTTGGAGACCTTGAGGATAGCCTATGCAGAGACAGGGGGAGTACGGTCCTGCTGATTCTTCTGGACCTTTCAGTGGCTTTTGATACCACTGACCACATGGTATCCTTCTGAGCCAGCTCACTGAGATGGGAATTGATGGAGGGCAGAACTCTGTAACCACCTTTTAAGGTCTCAGGACCCCAGAGTGGGAGAACTGTGGTTGAACTGAGGTTGAACTGTGGTGCTTGCTCTCACTTATAAAAGCCATGGGAGTTGTATGGGAGTATTCTGGGTTTACCTTCCACTAAATGGCCAGCCATGAAACAACCAAATTGTTTGATTGCCCTTGGGCCTGAAGGGCCTCACCAGATGGGGCAATTTTAGCGCCCCATGCCAGCCATCACATAATGTTGTGATGGCCGCACCCTAGATCAGGGTGGATTCATCCTTAGATCCTTCTCTACATGGGAGCCTGGCCAATGAAGTCAGCATGGGTACTCGTCGTAAGGGCGATGCTTCCCACATGATGATGAAAGTATCAGCACAAGGGAACGGCATGCAGGGCAACAGATTTGCTCCGCTGCTCCCTCTATCCAGTGGAGAAGTGAGATGCTTCATCTGGCCTTTGTGATGAGGTCATAAGGGTTTCACCCAATGGAAGGTTGAGTAGGCTGTCAAAAGTTGAAAGCTTGCTTCAGATGAACCAACATAAGGTTGCTCTTCAGGTCAAATTAAGTGCCCCCTGATCTAATTATTCCAGGCTGGGTCAGCAATAAGACTGAGCTCCCCTACACAATCCTGAAGAAAGAAACTTTGGGGGGAAAGGATTTGATGGTAAACAGGCACAGCAATGCCAATTGCCTGTTGTTGTGGTTTTAAATATACCCAGGAGTCAATGAATTAAACTGAACTCTTGTTTAATCACAAGTTGTTGTTGAATTTGAACTGGGTACCTTGTAAATACTACCCCAGTTGCTTTCTTGCTACTCCAGTTGCTTGATGACAATAATGAAGATATGAACAGAATAAACTGGGTGGGGGCAGTCTTTTTCTCCTGTGGCCAAGAAGCTAGTGTATCTCCCAGCCTTTCATAAATCTAAGTACATTTCAACAGTATAACAGTGCATCTGTGTTAAGCTCCCCCCCTCTTTATACTGTACCTGTGAGGTAGGTGTTGTGTGAGGAATTGATAAAATAATGAGACAGAGGCTGGGCCATATCTTCATTCACATCCAGTTTTTCAGGTGGAACCACTCCATTTTCCTCTCCACTTAAATATCTCATAAATCCATCCACTGATATCTGCCCTGGGAGGAAAGAGATCAAGACACAGACTTTAGCTTCAAGTACTCCATTTGCAGTCCCTTGGTTCATCTGGATTCAGCTCACTCCTAGATTCAGCACACAATATATTGCTCATCGTATTAGCCGTAAGACTGGATTCTGTAACTTCTTTGCTTTTCACCCATTAAATAATTCAGAACTTTAGTGGAATAAAAGATGGCTGGGAAATGTCTAGGTGCCTAATCTTGTTAGATGACAGCTCCCATCAGTGGGGAATAATGGGAGCTACAATCCAATAAAATCTTAGCAGTTCCATTTCCTCTTTTCCCCTGGAGTAAAGAGGCAGAAAATATATTTTTTTTTTGTCAGTCAAATTTTTCCATAAGCAATGCGGCTGGCTAAGAACATTCCATATATGGACCCTATCATAAAGTTCAGCCTGGTTGTGTATCTGCAAAAAATAAAAATAAAACAGAATTTAGGAGGAAAATATCCAGTGTTAACAAAAGCTAGGAAACGAAGACCAATGCACTTGTTGTGTAGTATCATAAACTGGAAATCCAAACAGCACAAACACAGCTCTATAGATGAAAACAAAGAAGTGATTAAACAAATACTGAGATGCTAACAGTAGTGTACTTAATCTGTGAAGTGATGTTCGGATCAAGATTCCATTTTTCAGTGTTTATATTTTTACACAGAACAAGAAAGCAGGCAAACTGATACATGTGTGTTGATGCACAGGGCAGAGTAAAGGAAAGGGGATAAACATACCATTGGAAGAGTAATGGAGAAGACCAAAGAAGGAAACGCAGAAATTAGGGAAATGTGAGTACATGTAGTAAAAGACTTTAAGGATTATGTTAACATTTTTGTCCATGAGAATGAACTGGATATATGGGATTTGAGCTGCTGTGGAATTAATGTAGCCTGACACCATTTTAAATATTACAGTTAAATGCTATGGAATCATGGGAGATGTTTTTATAAGGTGTTTAGCCTTATCTGCTAATGGGTGTTGGAGCCTCACTAGACTGCTACTCCAACGATTCCATAGCATTGAGCATCAGCATTTCAAGTAGTGTCAAACGGCATTAGTTCTATTGTATAGATGCACCTTAAACCATGTTTGTTGCATATAGCGTGTTTTAGTCAGGTCCAATGCAGAAGAGACAATAACATTGCACCCAGGCAAGAGGAAAAAGAACAGAAAAACTTTACTCTTATCAGCAGAGTTAAAACATAAACTTGCAATGTTGCAAACAAAAACAAACAGTGCAACAAACTTACATAGTCCTTGTAAGCAATACTGAATAAGGCTTCTTCATCATCATCCAAATGAGAGAGTAGTAGAAATAGTTGAGCAAAATGCTTGAGCAAAGGCTCCTCAGAGCAAAAGCTGAACTGTATTAAAAAACCCATACAGTTATATCCTACCAGGTGTGGACCAAACTTACTAGTTGACCTACATTAGCAGCTGCACATAATAATCAACAGTATAAGGTTTTCTTTAACACACTCATACTTGATCCTGTTACAACTTACTGTAACAATGTTCAGAAAAGATGTGTATGTACACACATGGATACAAGGGAGAACCGTGAAGGAACTGTATTTGGATGTGGCTGCTCAAAACAAAGGTCTTGCACTGCATCCAAACCGCTTTCTGAGGTCTTTGCACTTGCCCTTAGAAGGCTGTAATTATAAAACTCTCCATCAAGTCTTGTGACTTCAGCTGAGGCTGGACTTTTTATATGATGTAGAAGAAAATGAACTTTAGACTAAAGGAAAGGGAATTAGTTAATTTACTACTTCACTATATTGAAACAATTGGTGAAGGAGGTAGCTCAGATTTTCATGCTCCATGTGCCAGATTTCTACCTGCTGCAAATATTACATATGAGATCTTCCCTTTGTAGCATCTGAAATGGTGTGGGTGATTTTACAACCTCACTATTTTATTACATCATATGTTGAAAAGAACAGTGCCAAACCACAATAGCTATACTCTAGTGTGTTATGCATGTCAATTACAGCATTTCTTAGTGCGTGCCATAATTTTTATGTAAGTCCATCACTCTAACTGTGTCGTATTTCCTGAATCACCATTAAGCAGCTAATTTATCGGTGCTTCAAATGCAAAGAAAGGCAAGTGATTGATTGTAGAACAGGAACATCAACCATCTTCAATTGGCTTCTTCAATAATAACTACCGACCCACCCAAACTGGAAGGATATGGAGAAATTGTATATACAGATGTATGTGACAAAAAGATTGCTGATGATCATGGGAAAAACTGGAAAACGTTCCCAAAAAGTATCACTCAAAAACAACTGAATAGGTTTATTGAACAGGTATTTAAGCATTTATATTCCTCGTTCTTCCATATGGGACAAATAATTCCTGCATCACTTTCCCCACAAGGAAACAAATGTGTGTAATCTATGAGCCCTATTTGTGCTTTGGGAACAATGAAATATTGATTGTGCAGAAAATGTATTTTCTGTTCTGAAAATGTATCCTTCCTACTGCCTATTTTGCGCAGATGATTTTGTAAGAGACTGCAAAATGTGAAGAAGCTGGGATCTGTTGGTATTTCACCTATGGAATTTATCCATGGAATATTGGATAAATTCTACTTCACAGAAGCAAAAAGGGAAACTGAAAAATATTACAGCAACTTTTCCCCAATAATTATTGCCATATTAGTATATTTCATATATCATGTGTGCTTTTGAAGTTTTGGAAGGTTCCTAGCTCCCAGCTAAATTTGTATCTCAGCTGCCAAGCAAAGGATAGTCAACCTATCAGGGAAGTTTTTGGAATAGCTTTCGCATTTTTTAAATGAGAAAGGAAATGTACCGGAATACATAGGATCAAGCTCTGTCAATCACGATGCACATCTAACACAATATTATGATTCCACTCATGTCCACATATGATGACATTCTCACTGACAACACTGCAATCCTGACGTCTTTCGCATGCTCATATTATTAATAGAATGCTTCTGTCAGCTTCAATTGCTTTCTTTCTAGATATTCAGCCAACAGAGCAATAAGAACATTCACTGATTATGCGAGGAAGTGGGAGAAGGAAGTTTAGAACATTCTCCCGCAACTCTATCTGCTATTACTGGATTTGAGGAGCGTGTAGATTGAATTAGAAACAATAGTGCCTTACTAAATGTGAATAATACTAATAAAGAAGTCAAGCTATTAAGAGAGACCATTTTCATGGGATTCTCATAAATGTCTTATGTAATTCCATTACAGTTTTGCAGTTGTACAGAGCTTGAGCGATAACTTCATTTCACAAAGCATTTCTGGGGAAGGGCCACTAAATGGACACTATAAGGATATATGGAAAGCTGTTTACTTCTGTTCCCTGCTTGGGATTTGTATCGCTGTTTCATTAGGTGGAATCTGCACCAGAGAATGCCATAGCAAGGCCACTTGCAAAATGAGAGACTAGTACTTTGCATACGTAGAACTGATACAGTTGAGACATACAGAGAGAGTAAAAACGTGGCTCTGGGATCAAGCCTTCAGAGAAGAACCATAGTGCAATAGATTAATTGGAATTATGTGCAATGACTATCAGAATGACCTGGACTATAATTGTGGATTGCATGGTTTATAGTGAAAGTAATGTTTTATAATGTTTAAATAATTTAATTTTGATTTTTAATTTAAATGTATATTAATTTTATACTGATTAAGGCATTGAATTTTTGAACATTGATCGTTTGATTCCACAGCTTGCCTGCCCCCCCCCCCCCCCCCCCCCCCTGATTACCTCAGGTGCCACCAGCTGCCCTGAGCCTACATACCAGAATGGCAAATGTCACAATGCTGTTGTCGAAGGCTTTCATGGCCAGAATCACTGGGTTGTTGTAGGTTTTTTGGGCTATATGGCCATGGTCTAGAGGCATTCTCTCCTGACGTTTCGCCTGCATCTATGGCAAGCATCCTCAGAGGTAGTGAGGTCTGTTGGAACTAGGAAAAAGGGTTTATATATCTGTGGAATGACCAGGGTGAGACAAAGGACTCTTGTCTGCTGGAGCTAGGTGTGAATGTTTCAACTGACCACCTTGATTAGTATATAATGGCCTGACAGTGCCTAGAGCAAACTTTGGTTGAGAGGTGATTATATGTCCTTGTTTGTTTCCTCTCTGTTGTTGTGCTGTTGTAATTTTAGAGTTTTTTTTAATATTGGTAGCCAGATTTTGTTCAGTTTCATGGTTTCCTCCTTTCTGTTGAAATTGTCCACATGCTTGTGTATTTCAATGGCTTCTCTGTGTAGTCTGACATGGTGGTTGTGAGAGTGGTCCAGCATTTCTGTGTTCTCAAATAAAATGCTGTATCCTTTGTCTCACTCTGGTCATTCCACAGATATATAAACCATTTTTCCTAGTTCCAACAGACCTCATTACCTCTGAGGATGCTTGCCATAGATGCAGGCCAAACGTCAAGAGAGAATGCCTCTAGACCAGCGGTCGGGAACCTTTGGCTCTCCAGGTGTGGTGGACTTCAACTCCCACAATGCCTTGAGGCTCGGCACTAGCGGCGGGGCCGAAGCGGCGAGGAGGCGCGTTGCCCGCAGGGGTTTCCGCCCGCTCTCTCCCTCCGAGGCCAGTCTATTCTCTCCTGACGTTTTGCCTGCATGTATGGCAGCCACTGGCTACAAAGTGGAAGCCTTGGCTCTTTTTCATGGAGGACGGGCAGCAAAGGCTGGCCTCGGAGGGGGAGAGCGGGCGGAAACCCCTGCGGGCAACGCGCCTCCTCGCCGCTTCGGCCCCGCACGCTAGTGCCGAGCCTCAAGGCATTGTGGGAGTTGAAGTCCACCACACCTGGAGAGCCATAGGTTCCCGACCGCTGCTCTAGACCATGGCCATATAGCCCAAAAAAACCTACAACAACCCAATAAATATAGTTGTTTGCCTTCAAGTTGGTTCTGACTTATATTGACTGAAAAGAAAACCTATCAGAAGGTTTTCTTGGCAAGATTTCTTCTACTTAA